CTACTTCCTTCGTGTGTCAAGGGTTAATTTTTGGCCTCAAAGAAAAAACCGTATACACCAAAAAGCCACCTTTTTAAAATGGGATTAGCTAGTGTGAAGTATTTTTCCTATCGAGGGCTTGTCACAGTATTTTTTATGACCAGTTCTTCGGTTGCCCTAACCACTTCCAAAAACAGCAACAAAAAGTGTAGAGGTTCCTGGCTATATTGCCTGTTTTCGTATCACTGAGAGCTGAGTACGCTGGAACTATTGATTCCTCAAGGTCGTTGTTTTAACCGGCGAGGAAAAAAGTATATGACAAGATATAAACTGGTAAAAAGTTCTCTTTCGAAGCACTTTATTGAATCATTTCAAAGCATGCCATCACCGCTCTTAGTTACCCAAAAATTTAACTTTATATACTACAATTCAAAACAGCGAAAGTAAACTAAACTATGAAAGGCTTCGTTTTCCTTCACAGTTCACTGTGTTGTTCAGCTACTGTGGCTTAGGGACTTCCTCGATAATGATTCGAGCCACTGAGTTGTACCCAGTATACGCGTCAGAACCGCTTTTGAAACCAGGACAATCTCCGACCGCCAGTCCCACGCGTACGGTGCCCTTACCAATCCCCTCACAGTACCCCCCGATCTGACTGTGCTTGTGTACGTTGGTGTCTGTTCTGCCGTGATTAGCGTAAAGAACATCGATCGCTTCGATAGTGATTGGCTTAGAACATTCTATGCCATTGAAGGTGAAGTACCAACGCTTGCAGCAAAACACACAACAACAAATCCGGAAATCTCCATCATACTCCACCTTCAATGCTGTGTCTTGGTTTCTCATCACAAAGACACAATCCTAGATTGAGAGGTAATTAAGGGAATTAGAGGAATTAGCATTGAACTTTATAATGAACAGAGAGGAAAACAGGCCTACCAGATGCATTAGGTATACGTTATGTGGTTTGCTTAAATTTGAATATATATATTTACTGATTCTAATTATCGAGAAACTGTTGCTTAGCCGGAATTATTATACACTGAACTCACTATCTCTTTTCTGATTGGCTGAAAGCGTGCAGTAAAGTTTCAAAATCAGCCCAATCGTTCAATGTATAATAAAGCAATTGTTAGATTCGGATTTTGTGATATCCAGAATAATCAAGGTCTCAGCCTTCGGCTTCGGCTGATAACCCCTACCTCGACCTTGATTATTCTTGATATCACAAAAACCTGATCCAATAATTGCTTATAATTGCTTAAAATTCCACATGTATAAACCAATAAAAGTACAAAAGCCGCCTATACTCTATCAGCCTCCTACTCAGTGTCTACTAACGAAGTCATAATCATCAGGAAATGCAGAATTACTGACCTTTATCAAGCCATAATCCCTGTCATCGTTCAACTTTTTCCAGACGCACTGTTTCCAGTTCCTCTGAGGGACCACAGCCGAGGGGCCCTGTTCGCCCTTGTCGCCCTTGGGTCCTTTAGGGCCCATTTCTCCAGGTGGTCCGACGGGTCCTTGGCCTTCTCTGGACCCCCCAGGGCCCGGAGGTCCCATTTTACCGGGAGCTCCCGCAGGTCCTTGGTCCCCCTTAGCCCCGTCTCTTCCATTGAGCCCTGGCACTCCGGGGACACCTGGGACGCCACTGACAGGGCAGCTTAAGATCTGTGGAGACTGGGGCTTTACCTGGTGATTGAAGAAGATTGACAAGCTTTAAATTGACTTTAATGCCAGGTTACAAGGAGTTATGTTGGGAAAAGGAAGTTAAGACACATCCATATCAAACTTTGTGTTTAATTTTTGGTAGACAATGGCACTGGATTAACTTCCTTTTATGGGCATCTTGAATGTTTGCAGCTTTGAGGCTCTTTTGTTTCTAGAACAAAAGTTTGAAAGAACCGACGCTTAGCAAATTTCCGAGCGCGAGATTCAAAATCTTCCTTGACGACCAGGTATTGACAATATCACCCATCTCGGGGTGGGGTAAGGGAACTTTCGCTCAGAACAACGACAGTTTTACCGGGGAAAGGAAAAGGGAAACTGATATGACTTTGTCAGCGTCTAGAAAAATTCATATTAAAATGCTTATTTAATTTGTTAGTAACCTCGTAACCAAAATGGTCCCAGATCAATTATGGGAAATTAGTTCGTTGTCTGGTTCTGAAAATGCTGCATTTTGATCTAAAAATACAGCCCCCACAGTTTTATTCGTCTCCAGACGGACTTACACGGGAATTACGAAAATTCGCTTAATTACATGACAAAGACAACCAAAATAGTGCAAGGTTTGTGTAAGGCAGTTATACTGAGTTATGGGGGTCGTTTAAATAATCAATTGAAATTACCGAGACAGTATTCTTTCGATTGGAATCAGGTCAAGAGATTATCAAAGTAAGAGAGTGAATCCCCCAAATACGCCTTCTACAGAAGGTAATAATCTCTTTTAAGTTATTTTTTACCCAGTTCTTCCGAGGATGTTACTCGCGCGTTGCGTGGATGTTTTCGTGGAGGATTTGTTCATGTTTCGTTTCGTTTCAAAGAGACAGAAAACCTCCAACGCTGTGGGGATGTCTTCTTTGATATTTTAATATCAAAGAAGCCAAGGAGCTTCGGTCCTCGCTATGTTTTAATGCTTTTCGAAACTTTACAGGGAGTTTAAATAAGAAACAGATGTCCTCAAAACAAACACTGAACAACAACTGAAAAAACGGCAGAGAAATGAGCAGCCAAACAAGTGCGATGCAAAGCAAACGAACGCCCGAACACAGCGCAACTGAGCACACAGATATTCCAAAGTGCAGACAGAAACTCCCCGCCCAAGCAGCAAAAGGGAGTTAAATTGAGCAACAACGACAACAACGTCGTCAACTTGTGAATCTCGCGAAAGAATTTCGATTCATTCAGTTTTTCTATCACTGTCAGAGATATTCCCAACAGAATATGTATGACAGCGTCAAAATTCGAAAAAGAAGTTCTAAAAATTGGCCACCGTAGTTCACGTTCTCTACGCAGAATGTAGCCTTTTCATGTTGTATTTTGTAAAGAAAGGCAAAGAAATGAATAAAATTATAACGCACGCTACACAGCCAATGTATTCGTTGCTGTTGCCGAAGTGGTTTGCTTATTAAACTCCCAAAACCCGAATTAACGGCAAAAGAATGAACAGTCAAACGAGCACAAAGCAAACGAAAGCCCAGCCGAAAAAAAACACAGGACGCGAAGAGTGCAGAAAACATCTGTGCTATGAAACATCTCTTGAAAATCAGAACGTATAAAATGACTTTTCGCCATATTTCCTGCCAGTCGCTTGGGTCCACGCATCGCGCGAGTAACATCCTCGGAATAATTAGGTACCATGTCTAAAAATATCTTTAGAGGGATTATCTTAGGTATAAGGCCTATATGGCAGATTCACTCTCTTATCGCTTTGATAACTCTTGGATCAGGTGTATTTCTCCATGTAATTTTTTACTCTCAAATCGGCAGGTTTTTGAAGAATATCTGTTAATCATGACTGGGAGATACCAGCCAAACGAGCGAAGTCGTGAAGGAAGATTTAAAGTAAAGAAGGGACGGAATGATTCATAACGAAAGCATCTTGTTTGATGACTTCAATACCGGTCACCGAGGTCTTTTGCGTTTGCGAAAAAGGAGAGCAGTCATCAAAAACCACATTGATTTGCTGAAAGGACAAACTTGTGAAGGGAAAACCCTACCGACTGGTGTATGGAAAACACCAGTTGTGGAATGATACACGAGACAAGACAAATGATCTTCAAACTCATCTTTCCTTGGTTTACGTCAGGTCTGGAAGAATCCTGTAAACTATAGGAAACAAAACAATAGCACAAAGGTAATCAGCTCCACAAAAACAAAACAAATTTAACCTAGAGAAAAACATTCATTCACCTTCTGAGTCAATTGGACTGAAAAACCGCTTACCGAATTAACCCAAATTATCGCCAAGTTTACTTCCAAGATTTCTTGTTGTCAGAGGCTTTAAAAGCTCAGATTAAAATAACACTCAGAGTTTGAAGTCGTAACTCTGGACTTAAAATACCTCATACGCTTCACTGGCTTCACATAATTCTTTTTAGTGAAAAAAACTGGTTCACCTAGCCTCATACTGGTTCGTTTAACGCAACAAATATTTACTGTCCGGTTGAGCCGACAATAAGGTAAATATTTGCCTGGTTTCACAGACAGATGATCAAAAACTCAACATTTTCTGTCATGCTACCAGACACTCCTGCAAAACGCAAGAATTTGATTTGAGATTATCTGATTTGGTTCGAGGTTAAAGTGTTGCCCTGCAGTAAACTGCTTTATTATTCAACTTCAGTTTCATACACTGTACGAATTCCGATTTTCTGATTGGCTGATTTGTACCACGTGATACTGGGATGTGACGAGACAACTACGTTGACGTCATCATCATAGTGTAATAGCCGTGGTGTTAATTCAACACACCACTGTCATTACACCATGGCTTCGACTGACTCAAATATAGAGGTTTCAATGCAGTGTCTCTTTGTGCAGTGTATTCAATTTGAATAACAAAAATGTTAACGCACTCATTGCTCGTAAATTATCGGGATTTACCTGTACTCGTTCACTAACAATGAACTTGAAATTTTCAATACCGCACTCGGCAAAGCCTCGTGCGGTATTGACATTTCTCATTCATTCACGCTGACGCAAGCAAAAAACGAAGTGAAATTTTGCGTAAGAAAACTAATAAACTTCCTCTATAAATTCATAAATATTTGAAAACTTAATCTTGATTTATCTTTCATGTTCAATTCTCTTTCCGAACTCCGTTCATTTTTCTATAAATTAGTTAGGAGAATTTGTTTCTCTATCAAGGCGGCGCTCCGTTGGTGATCATTTGCTTGACTCTCGTGAACTATAATCCTGATAATGGATCAGATCATCATGAAAAATTAACTATTTATCAATCCGGCCTGAGCATCCTCGTTATTTAAAATTCCTCTTATTGCGGGTCAAAAAAATTACGTCAAGTCAGGACTGTTTAATTGTTTTCTGTCACGGTGTTACTTAGCACCTTCATTGAAATTCTACTTGAATTAATGAGTGAACTTTTGGATATGCGACATCAAAACATTCTAATTAAATTTATTTACTATTACATTAATAAAATCTCAACAAGAAATCCTATTACAAATACCTCTGAGAAACGAAACGACGCGATTCATTGAAGATTAATTCACTGGGTGAATCCAGCAAACGTTTCCATGAGCAGACGTACCATTGTGCGGACAACGCGGCCCATCTTTTTTCATCGGTGTAGGGTGAAACTTTCTTTGCCCTGCACGCGTTGTTAACTTAAGGAGAAATTCCGCCCTCTTTTGTCTCTCATTTCGTTGCATGGCTCAAAAGAATATTCGTGTAAGCTAACATGGTCTATTATATATACATACATACATACAACCTTTATTTATACACGATAAAAGACGTCAAAGCTAACAAGCTTGTGGGG